AATTATTTAAACTGCTTTTATTTTTTATTTGCATCAACTGAACATCTTAACATATTTCATGACCAAAATAGTATGGAATAAATGAATTGAGTCATTTACTTTGGCATAGAAAATATAGCATAAGAACTCATTCAGAGTATTTTTAAAAAACATTTTTGCTAAGCTCTTAATATGACATGATCTTTTCTTCACTGGTTAAATGCCAGTTTTCCATTAGGATTGAAGAAACTTTAAAGAATAAAGCATATAAAACGTCATGGACCTAACATGAGGGAAATGTATTTTCTAGTATTAGGAAACCAAGTGATTATCTTCATACACAAGTAATTTCTTGATTACTCATATGTTGATTATATATGTTGTATATTTGGAAATGAAAAATATTTTTAACACAATGAAACATAATTGGGACACTAATCTTTATAAAAAAACAGGTCCTCCAAAACATAAAGGAATTTTAAAGAATTAAGCAAAGCATAGATCTCCTCAATTGACATTCAAAAAGCATTAATCTCCCGATAAAGGAAAAGAAAAAACATCCAAAAAGCAACAATTATTTATAGTTCAGTGGTTCTTCACCATTGCTACACATTAGCATCACCAGGGAAGATTTAAAAATATTTACACTTCACCCCAGACCAAACAAATCAGAAATCACTGAGGGGTGAGTCCCAAGCTTTGGTATTTTGTAAAGGCTCTTCAAGTTATGGTCTACCATTCAGGTAGGGGTGAAAACTGTACTAGTCCAGAAATCTATCTAATACCCCAAAGCCTGGTGGTCAGAGGATGTTCTGTCAAGATTCTTTCAATTCAGTTCTTTGCCTTTTCTGCCTTGCTACAATAAACCTGTCAACAAAGACTTGACACCTACTATATATGCCACGTACCACACTTGGCAGTGAACAAAACAGACATTTTTGGAGTTTATAGGATCACCTTCAACTAAAGCTTCACTGAAGCACCAGAATGCCACCAAGTTGTGTTTCCTAACAAGATAAAATTCCTAAAAAATGAATTCCCATTTTCACCACAGGAGGGTGGAATGGAAAGGGGTAGAGGAAGGGATGATTTTATTTCTATTTAATACATTTGTTTGGCTTAATTTTTTAATAATGAGCATATATGCCCTTTTATAATTTTTTAATATTTTTAATAAGATTTTTTAAATGAAGTCACAGATAAATGCAGCAAGACATACTGGTTGATTCTTGTCTATGTATTTATTTCACCGGGGAGAAGGGTCAAGATTTGAGGCTAGCAAGAGTTCATCAATACATGAGTGGATTAATAAAATGTGGTATATGTATACCATGGAGCTTTAAGAAACAATGGTGATATAGCACCTCTTGTATACTCCTGGATAGAGCTGGAACGCATTCTACTAAGTATCCCAAGAATGGAAAAACAAGCACCACATGTACTCACCATCAAATTGGTATTAACTGATCAACACATAAGTGCACACATAAGAATAACATCTATTGGATGTCGGGCAGGGGGGAGGGGGGAGGAGGAGACGGGTATATGCATACATGGAGAGTGCAATGCACACCATCCGAGGGATGGACACACTTGAAATTTGGACTTGAGGGTGGACAGGGGGTAAGGGCAACATACATAACCTAAACATCTGTACCCCCATAATATGCTGAAAAAAAAAAAAAGATTTGAAGCTGGAGTACAATCAAAAGGTTAAAGAACCTAAGTTTCTTTACCTCTTTCTAGTAGTAGCCTTGATTGTCTTTCCTAATCCCTTAGCTATTGTCCCCATGTCCATCAAGATTATATTAAAAAGATGGATAAAGAAAATGCAGTTTATGTATACCATGGAATACTACTCAGCCATAAAAAAGAATGAAATCACATCATTTGCACTAACAAGGGCGGAATCGGAGGCCATTATCTTAAGTGAAATAACTCAGTCAAATACCACATGCTCACTTATAAGTGGGAGCTAAATAATGAGTACACATGGACATAGAGAGTGGACTAATAGATGCTGGAGACTCAGAAGGGTAGGAGTGTGGGAAGGGGGTGTGCAATGAGAAATTACCTAACAGGTATCACGTACACGAATCAAGTGAGGTGCCCAGGCTTCACCACTATGCATGCAACAAATCTGCATATGTACCTATAAAAATAACTTTAAAAAATCATATCAAAAAAGGTAAAGGTTGAAGGTCAAAATTCTTATGGAAAGGCCAGGCGCGGTGGCTCATGCCTGTAATCCTAGCACTCTGGGAGGCCGAGGCAGGCAAATCGTTTGAGCTCAGGAGTTTGAGACCAGCCTGAGCAAGAGCGAGACCCCGTCTCTACTAAAAATAGAAAGAAATTAGCTGGACAACTAAAAATATATAGAAAAAATTAGCCAGGCACGGTGGTGCATGCCTGTAGTCCCAGCTACCTGGGAGGCTGAGGCAGGAGGATCGCTTGAGCCCAGGAGTTTGAGGTTGCTGTGAGCTAGGCTGACGCCACAGCACTCTAGCCGAGGCAACAAAGCGAGACTCTGTCTAAAAAATAAATAAATAAATAAAATAAAACAAAATAAAATAAAATAAACAAAGTGACCATGACAACAAATGACTGGGGGAAAGGGGTTCACTCTTACGTGGCAAAACAAGACACTGACTGATATACCTAGCATATGTGTGTGTGTCCACAACAATGTGATACAGAGCTCTGCATCCACAGAGAATCCAATCAAGTTTTGAATAATGAAATAATATTTTAGAGAGAGTTTCTCATATAGAGAAGTATAAAGATAGTATCTGAAAGGCTGGGTGAGGTGGCTCATGCCTGTAATCCTAGAACTCTGGGAGGCTGAGGTGGGAGGATGGCTTGAGGTCAGTTCAAGACCAGCCTGAGCAAGAGTGAGACCCGGTCTCTACTAAAAAATAGAAAAATTGGCCAGACATCGTGGCACATGCCCGTAGTCCCAGCTACTCGGGAGAGGAGGCTGAGTGAGGAGGATTGCTTGAGCCCAGGAGGTTGAGGTTGCAGTGAGCTGTGATGAATACACTGCACTCCAGCCTGGGCAAGACTCTGTCTCAAAAAAAAAAAAAAAAAGGGACAGTAGCTGAATAGGTTTCCAAAAACCAGGATTAATGAATTTTGTTTGTTCACAATCATTTTAATCATGGTTACAAGTTTAAGCATTGAAACTGCAATCACTAATATATTTAAAGCATAGCATGTGTTTTAGAAATTCAGAATTACATAAAGAAACCTAAATGTACTTGGTGGTTTTATAGCTGAAGGCAACTGCTAAAGAATGTTCCATTTCTCAATATAAAATAGTACAATCCTACCTTTTAATATTGTAAGAGTTCTACTAATGTAAGACTTTCACCTAATTACATTTCTACAACAGAATTGCTCTCTAAAACATTTCATTTCAACTAAAAATGTCAATTTCATTATAGGACATTTAAAATTTTGAATGTCACTTGGATTTAGGCAATTTGTCTTGATTAAACAAAATCAAACGTAGACACAAAATAAATATATCTTACATAAAATTATCTCTAATTAATGTTTATCTAACAATGGAGGATCTTAAAATGTAGGCCACATTTATTTCAATTACAGCTAAAGGAAGTTGTTTTGTTTTCAAACCTGTGCCAGATTTATTCTGTCACAATCAGGTAGCTGTTCCAAGAATTTCTTAGAAAAAGGCATTTGCTGCATAAAAAAGATGCCGTACTAGATTTCAGACTACACTGCACACTGATATAAATTTCTAAATTTAATTTGGGTAAATAAAACCAGAATTAGCTAACAGGTGTCACTATCACAAAACAAAAGCAAGCATCTTATTATATTGCAGTTTTATGCTTACTACATTTGGTTACTTATGTTAATTTTCTCAATGCCTATATGAGGTAGCTTGCTTTCCTATCTATACTAACCTATTTGCAAATATAGAAATACTTCTTAACCTCTGCAATGGAGACTTTCTATTTGTATTCTCTTTCCATTGAAAATCCAAACAGCTGCTCATATTTTAATTGCACCTCAAACTATTCTTTTTAGTGATGACTCTTTCTTAGGGACCACTCTATTAGAAGTCTGTCAATTAATAAACGTGTTGCTCAGTTAGTGGAAAAGAAATAACTGTATGTTAGTGGTTAAGAAGCCCCATAATTGTAGCATCTAATAACTACTGTTGTTCCTAATGCCACCAAGCTGACTCAGACTAATGAGCTCTCTAGGTGTCCCTGTCTAATAAAAGCCTGTCAGGGTGAAAACTCATCAGTGGAGACTCCAGAATTCTTTCAACCATTGTACTTGCTTCTCATACATAAACAAACAGAAGTGATCTGGGGGTTCTCTGCCACAAGGAAAAGCACTGAAAACTATTAAAGCATCGCATGATTTTGAAAACGAATACTTCTTACCTTCTTTACAGTGAATCCTACATTAGATCAAGAATGCTACTTATAAAGATATTCTAAGTTAGTACAGGATCTCTGATACATGAGTTTTCAACCCTAAATATAAAAACGGCAGCAAAAATGAGCCAATATGCAAACTAGGAACAAAAGACAATTCATGTGTCTTTGGCGATCTTAGTTATAAAATGATGTGCCTGAGGACCGTTCAAGCGAGGTACACACCAAATGATGCAGCCCAAAGCGGGCAAGGAGCACCACTGGATGCTCGACCCGCCACCCAACCATCTGGGCACCAATGCTGGTGCCCAGAACCCTTGAGTCCTTAACATTAAACATCCCCGTAACAACTCCTCCCCAGTTCAGAAAATCACAGACTTCCTGGCCCCAAGAAACTTAACCCTGGTCTTCATACGTCTCCAGAAATCTTAACACCGGCTTTTTCATACTCCCATCATCCAAAACAAAGTTCACAACATCGCGCTGACAGTTTCCTTCATAACTTAGCATGGGGACCACGCCCGCCGACCAGGCCAGTCTCCTCCTGTCCCCGGAGGGGACGCTCCCCCTTTCTTTCCTTCGGCCACTCCGCCTGGCCACTCTACTCACAGACTAGCGGTGTCTGGGGGCAACGGGCCCGACAGCGCCCTCCAGCTCGGCGCGGACAGTTTCCTGCGACTGCAATCCAGCAGAGGAATGCGGCAGGAGCAGGGTGCGGGGCAAAGACCTGCTCGGGTGATGGGCAGCAGGAGGAGAGCTGCCTGGGCAAGGAAGAGGAGCCGGGAAAGTGGTTCAGACCGATACCCCAGCAACCGCTCCTCCCGGACGCCTAGGGGCGCCGGCGCCATTTTCCCCCTCGACCTGGACCTGGCAGAGAAGAGCCGCCTGACAGAAAAGGATGGCGCAGATGTTTAAGCGGCTGCGCGATCACTCAAAACCCGGGCTGTCCCCTGTATCCTCTAAAGGCAGGCGAGGGGCGGACGCCGCGCGACAGCGGGGGCGGCGGCCGGGGACACACGGCTCAGGGCCTACGGACAGCGCTCACCCACCCCGCCCCGCGACGCAACGTCCCCACGCACAAGAGCCAGCCAATCGGTGCCACAGGACGAGGTTGCGTCGGGGGAGGGACTCCGTGAAGGGGCGGGGCCAGAGACAGCCGAGCTCCTTTAGGAGAACGTCAAGGTGTTTGGAGACTTTAGGTGCTCCTCTGGAGTTGCGCCGCGGTCCCTCCGCTGGAGGGCGCAGTGGTTCCTTAAGAGGGAATGGTGGGGTCAAGCACTCAGAGTTCCGACTACGGGTATATCTGTTGAAGTTGTAGGAAAGGCTCTTTTATCTTCTCTGGGCTCCGAGAAAGAGGAGTGGCAGAAGGGCTGCCTTCCAAGTTGCTGACACGAATGGAGCTTCTATCCTCGCCTTAGCCAGGTCGGTCTTCAGAGCCAAGTTGGGGCCTCCTCTGCCCCCTGCTGCCTGTCTGCAGCTCGTGTTGTTCTGCAGCGGGGCGACCAGCTCCCACTCGCCTAACACAAAGCATGTTACCACTATCTGTTGATGGCCTGTAAGCTCCTGAAGGCAGAGACCCTGTTTATTCATCTGTGCACCTCCAGCTTCTGTTCCAGCTTGGAGTTCAGTAACTGTTGATGGGACCGCACCTGCATGTCTCTAAGGAAAATACCCTTCTTTCCTCTGTTTTGGGGGTGATGCTGTCCTACATACACACTCTCAGAAAAGCAAGTGGGACAAGTAGAGTGTTGAGTAGTCAACAAAGCAAAGGCTGCTTGTGAGGAAATTTTTTATTTTTCCTGAAGCAGAGGCTTTAGAAAACTTACTAGGAACAGTGAAGTCTGGCC